GTAACACACTTTTCACACTCTGGCTGTATATATAAAGAAGGACGTCTCGACAGGGGTCATTTTGCTACTAAAAAATACCGGAGTGTCTAAACGTCAGGCAGTCTAATTTTTTCTTAAAAATCGTCGGAACAACAGTAATTTCAATTAATACAGCAACAGAAATGCAATAAAGACCAAAATAATACTGTTCGACAAGTTTTTAACACAAGCACGGCACTGCTTCGAGATTTTTCGACTGTCTGACGTTTAGTTCCAAAACTAAATGTCAGACAGTCGATTTATTTTTAATCGTCAGAACAGCTGTAATTTCAATTAATACAACAAGAGAAATGCAATAAAGACCGAAATAATACTGTTCGACAAGTTTGTATACACCAACACACGGCACTTTCAATTGCACTTTGGGTTTCGACTGCTTGACATTTAGTCCCAGAATTAAAGTGCTACTTGCATGAAAATGGCCTTATTTCAAAACTTCAAGCAATACAAATATATGACTCATTGATATCAATTAAAAACAATTGCGGGAAAATATTTGTTTTGGAATTATCCCACATCAGATAAATTTTGATTCAAAAGATGGAAGAGCAAAAGGATTGAGTAAATGACGTCATCTACTCCAACATTTTTTGCCCAAATTATCAAGGATTTGTATCAATATCTTCTTGAAATCTGCTGTTTCATAATTATTAGACCCATGAATAGGTCTATTTGATTTCCAAGTCTTTTCTTAAGATTCGAAATTTTCGTCCAAGTAGCCCTTTAAACGTCAGGCAGTCCATTTTTTTTTGTTTTTGAAAAATAGTCGAAACAACTGTAATTTAAATTATTAATGCAACAAGGGAAATGCAATAAAGACCGAAATAATACTGTTGGACAAGTTTGTATAGCCGTAACAAGCACGGCACTTTTAGATTTTTCGACTGCCTGACGTTTAGTCCCAGATCTTGTCTAGGATAGGGTATAGTCTCATTGTCTGGAGTAGGGTGGAGTTTTACCTGTGATCGTATCTGCTAGGCCAGGCTTTCAGCGCTAAAATAATGTACCTTTGTACCTTAGTCTGCTTAGCTGGGTTAGAGTATGTAAAATCATAAAAATTGGTCCCCCCGGGTCCCCGTTCAGTGCCCCGCTAGTCCCGGGGGGCGGAGGTTTCAATTGACGAGTGCATAATTGTGACGTTTTTCACCAACAGAAATTATTTTCTTGATATTGCCCGATTGCTACATTGCTTTGGTGCTAACCTCGCAAACTTGTTTTCTAACCGCGAAAAGGACTGTTGAACAATCGCTGTCTGCCTCAAAATCGTTAACAGCGTATAATATATTTACACTATATGTTTAAAAATGGAAAATATTGTATATACTACAGATAATAAACTATTTAAAAAGATAATAGAATATGTACGATATAGAACTAGTTGCTACGATTGACAGACAGGTTATATATAACTGAAATTTTAATCAATAGTGAAAATATTACGGAACTTCTCTTAATGAAGGATATTTGTCTATTTAGAGAGGATTCTTGAGTTCCGAATTAGCAAAAACCATATTATTGTCCTATGGTATAATCCTATGAAAAATGCCAACAACAACAATTSGTCGATTGAAGTCGATTGCTAGACAGCTGACCAACTTTCAGGAGGTTGTCACATGATTTCATGATTTTCATTTATAAACTATCACGGTATATTTACATCGCCTTATGTAGTATATTTGGGTATATGTATTCTTTCCGAGAAAAAAGGCCATTTTGTATGAATAGCTAACGCCAGAGTATCCTGCTCGTATAAGTAGACTTGGTCAATCTGTGATATATAAAAAACGTGTGCCTGTTCAGGAACATGGCTCTGGCCTAAATGCAAATAAAAATAAAATCCAAATCAAGCCTATTTTTCCAGTTGGATTGAATGGTGTTTGTTTTGTTTTATGTTTGCTTAATTAATGAAGGATGTTTATCAGTACAAAGAGAGTCTTCCTGAGTTCCGAAGCAGCCAAGACCACATTATTGTCTGGTATAATCCCAAGAAAAATGACGAACAGTAAAACAATATTCATCATTAACCTGCTTCCGCGCAACTATCTCACTCTCGCCGTGGCTGATTTCCGTCTCTATTAAGATATAATTTTCTTAATATAGCCTTCACAAGGAATTGAAATCCTATAAACTTTAAGTCCAAAGATTTTCATAAAACCATATGCAACCATAGTTAATATTAAGTAATGTTTAAAGTCCGACAATGAGGACTGGATGGGGTTTCAAGTCCGCGCAATTAGTTCCAGTCCGAGGCGTTAGTTCCAGTCCGAATTGGAGGACTTTGAACGACTTCTCATACTCATTAATTATTCGGGAGGGGAAAAAAGCGAAGGAAATACATATAACAGAAATATATTGATTTATTGCATCTTCTCCAAGGTTTTCAGTTTTCATAATTTTGAATAAAGAAGCACCGTTTGTTGTTTTCCAATTCCCGAACGGGGGGGGGGGTGTCAGTAGCATATAGCCAAAAACTAAGTATAGCAGATGGAACTGATCATTTTTACTCATTGAGTATTGTCTAGAGCATGAAAATTATGCGCAATTTGACCGGAAGCAAATTCAAAAGCTTTCATCATGTCAKCTCGTAATTTACCGTTTGCGCATGCTCTATATTTTTATAGCCCAGCATTTAATCCCACACGCAATCTCGTACCCAGCGCCCTTGTCCCTCTTACTGCGCATGCTCGACGAAAAACTGTTTTTCGTCGAGCCTGTCAGCCTGCGAGTAAGAGGGACAGTGGCGCTGGGTACGAGATTGTCCCACACGGCTTATCACATCAGTTGAAAATTGTCTTAAAATTCAAAATAACTGAACTTCAGAAAGCCCTAAAACCGTACAAACTATGAACTGGAAAAACACAAACAAGCAAACAAACAAATAAAATCAGAAATCTTCATTGAATAACAATTTTTTTGGAATACAAAGCTTCATACATAGGCATACACTCCTCAATGACTTCTATGACGTCACTAGACAAACCACTAGTGYCAGGCTTCTCTGTATCTCTCGGTTTTTTAACAAAGCCACTCGATTTCATCACAGCATCATGCCAGCCGGCGCAAACGTGACGGTCCCACCCAGGGACGGGGCCTGGCTGCCACTTAGTCATGTCAGGGTGATACTTCACTCCAGTGGCCTCGCAGTAGCTCCGCATCACTTCATCCGGGTACGTAAGAAGGTCCTCTGCATCAATCACCAGGGGGGAGGGGTGGAGGTTTTCGCTCACAAAGGTATAAAGCTCATATRTCTCTTTRATRCCAAACTCTCTAGCAACGAAATATCCACAGCGAAGAAGAGACTTTGCTACGTGAACTGGATGTCGGATGAGAAACGTGTGTTGAAATTCCTTCATTTTATCTTCTAGAAGAAYATCAYAGTTWTTCATCAAACACATTGCCATTTCTTTGGCAAATATAAGCTGTTTTCCATCRTASGGTTKGGTCAAAATGTCGGTCACTGATTTGAAAGTGGCGTTCGGATCCATTGGAATCTCCGTGAAAAGATCACTATTTCGAGTTACTCCACAATGATATGGAATGGCAAATAACTCATGGAATACTTGTACTTGATCAAGTGTTCTGATTGAACGTTCGAAAGCTGTGGATACACATCTTGGAGCAGACCACAGAATAACCCTTTTAGCTGATGCCATGTGGCTGGATGGACGATTTCAACGACGTTCAGCCTTCAAAGCTTAATGGTGGTTGTGTCTAGGCGATAAAGACATCAGTCTTTAATAGAAAAGGTGTGCGGAATCGTCAGACAAAGGAATAAATAAAGCTATTTACACCTATAGTGACGATATTTCCTATTAATATTAGAAGACCAGAGACCACTAGGAAGAACACCTACGCGCTGCAATAACGCTGTCACAGAAAGAAGATTTAGACTGTAGTAAAAGGAATAGATTAAAAACGACAAAAGAAGATTACTCATGCTGCAATAACGCTGTCGCAGAAAGAACATTTAGACTAGTAAAAGGAATACATTAAAAACGACAAAAGAAGATCACTCGGGTTGAACGTCATCTGTTATCTTTTAAAATCTGTTCCTTTTTACCTTTTCACAAATGTTCTATTTCTTTATGACAACGTTTTAATTCTGTTGTATTTCTAGATATCTATATATACACAAAAGGTTGGTGTTGCATGACTAAACGTTAACTCGACTTCAAGTTTAATTTTTACGAATAACAAATCTCGCATCCGGAAACTCGCTGTTTTCACTTGTTTTCCTTATAATTATACCTTATAATTATCATGAAACTACAGGAGACTACCACACTAGAGTACACGAAGGAAACGCCTACTTCAGGGTTTTGTCTGAATAAAGCYGCACTCCTGTTGTTATATATTTAGGAGTGTCTGTGGAGTGGTCTGTTAGATTRCATGCAGCCAGTCATTCGGATCTAATGCTTCATCATGCCGCAGTAAGATTCAGGCTTAGCAGGTCATTAACTATACAGTCGAACCTCTATTAAGCGGTCACCTTCTATTAAGCGGCAACTCATGAGTTCCCCATAAGTCGATTCTCATGTAAATTTACTGTAAAACATGGCCTCTATTAAACGACCAACCTCTATAAAACGGTCACCCGTTCTTTCCTGAAGGTGACCGCTTATTAATAGAGGTTCGAGTGTAAGTCACAATATAGACCCCTTGCAGTTC